GCTTGACACATTTCCCATCATGCATTGCAGGATTGGAATACCTTCTTATATATTATCTTACTTGAAATTATTAAATTTAATCAGCACAAACTATAGCAATGCAAAAATTTCGATCCTGACTTTTTTTTCGATGGGCAAAGTGATCTGCCACAGACTAAATAATTTGAGAATGCATAGTAATCCTTCATTAGATGAGATACTACAGTTAAAAAAAGATATTTCATAGCTTGCATCTACACCCGCCAGGGTGTGCTGGAATTATTTTTACATAAACTGTAGCTTCAAGGGGATAGTTTGCTATAAAAAATGCAGCCAACGTGAGATTTAAATTTGTACTAATTGTAAATTTTTATTATAATTATAAAAAATACTAAAATCCGAACAAAAACAGTTTTACTGTAAAAAAATCGCGCCAAGTCCACGTTCATAAGACGATTAAGGAAATAAAAATTAGTTTTTTCTTTACAAAAAGAGATAGAATAAAAAAATTAAAAAAATTAAAAAATCCAAGTAACTGATATGATTGTATATGATTTTCCGAAATTTTGGAACGTACTTGGTGTGCGTCATTGTGTACTTCAATTTTTTTTAAAAGTCCTAGTAGATAGATTTTTGGAATTTCATAAAAAGTGAAATATTTCGTAACCACGCACACTAAATACGTTCCAAATTTTTTTTTTTAATTTTTAAATTTACAACAAAATTTTTTCTAATTCCGGAAAATCATATACAATCATATCGGTTACTTGGATTTTTTAATTTTTTTATTTTATATCTTTTTGTAAAGAAAACAAAATTTTTTTTTCTTAATAGTCTTATGAACGTGGACTTGGCGCGATTTTTTTTACAGTGAAACTGTTTTTGTTCGGATTTTAATATTTTTTGTAATTATAATAAAAATTTACAATTAGTACAAATTTAAATCTCGCGTTGGCTGCATTTTTATAGCAAATTATTCCCTTGAAGCTACAGTTTATGTAAAAATAATTCCAGCGCACCCTGGCGGGTGTAGATGCAAGCTGTGAAATGTATTTTTCTAACTGTAGTTTCTCATCTATCGGAGGATTACCATGCACTATCGAATTATGTAGTCTGTGGCAGATCGCTTTGCCCATCGAAAAAAAGTCAGGATCGAAATTTTTGCGTTGCTATAGTTTGTGCTGATTAAATTTAATAATTTCAAGTAGATTAATTGTTATAATTAAATATAATTAATTAATATCAGTAAAATAAAGTATGAATTACTGTTTTAATATAAAATTTAGGAAAAAAAATTTCCGTAGAATTAAATAAAATTTTGCAACCTCGAAATACCGTTCTGCTTACAGTTAACACACTCGGTAGTCTGGCGCTCCGTTTACAACGGATTTGAACGCAACTTGGCGCCAGATTCTACCGAATCTGTGGATCTAAAATTATTAGAAATATTTTCAATGATTTCCAAAAAAATTAACCATCGCTAATATCAAATCCGCAGTTTGAATAAAAAATGATCTTCAATTAAAACAACTAGTAAGAAAAACAAAAACAAAGTCAATCAGACCACGCGGTCGACTAATCACCTATATTTACACAAACATATATATACGTACTTAATCCTCATTGCGCGCGCTTTTTATTTATCTCAGGCGCGAATAAGACAGAATATGAATAAATTTACTGTAGCGCCACGCGCGCCAACGACTGCCTCATCTCACGTTTTGCCGGCATAGCATGTTTCATTACACACATACACATTTACACATCACCAATTAAATCATGTCTCAACATATTCCACGCAACAATAGAAACAAAACAAAATTTGAAATTATAAATAAAAATCTCCTTCTCTGAAAAACTTTTTAGGTTAATTAATAATTATCGATCACAATTTTTACAAAATCACTTTCTAACCTAAAAATAAAATTAATATAATTTATTATTATTAATAAAATATAAAAAACAAAAGAAACTTACTTTTTTCGACGTGACACCTCACAATCTGTACGTCCTCATCAAAACTCCTGTCACCCATTTCGCTAGACTGTACATCCATACACATAATTCACGTGTATGGTACACCTACTCGCCAGTACACATTTGCACCTGGCCCGCAGCACAATGCACATACACTTTACCACTATCTTAACCCGAACAGTATTCATTAACAACAATAATAATAAATTTTTAATAAACTAAAAACCTTTTGAAGAACTGCCGCCGTTAATTGGTAAGTAATTTTTTTTTTTTTTTTAACTTAAACTTTCTTCTGTTTAACCAACAAATTTTCTTAAATAACCGTTGGCCTACCAGCAGCCAATCAGAACCCACAAATTGGAATATTCATAGTTATAGTTGTGTAGTTCAGGTCACTAAGTTGTATCATTCAGTGCATTGTGTTAGTGTCAATATAAATCTTGTGGATCGTGTTATAGTGAATAAAAAAAAAAAAAAACAAATGGTGTGCGCGTCCTGAGACTCCGCATGCGCAAAAAAAATTTTGTATATATTTTTTACTTAATTTTTATCTACACCACTAACCAAAAAGTACACCGTAAGTATTGCTTTAATATTGTATATTGTAATTATATTTTTATAATTTTTTAATAAAACTATTTATTATCTTGAGTTATTAATAATTAATAATTAATTAATTTTATTTATAAGCACGTACGTATATATGTATACGTATTATACACTTATTAAAATATAGACATAAGTAACAACTAACTCTAACTGTAACTGTATTGCCCACGAACGTAAAGCCAGTGCACATTCATCTAAGCCGAGAGAGTCGCTGTGGTGAGTAGTTGGAATCTGGCAGATTTGAATTGAAACGTTGCCACTTCTTTTGCCTCCCACCCTTAAAGTTTTTAACGCAAAAGCCCGCTCTCGCCCTTATGTACTTAACGGTTGCGACGTTGCCGTACATCCGGTATATAGTATATAATCACTATATACCACTTTTATATATGTACAATATAATGTATATATAGACTTACATTGGCACAGACTATATGTACGACAATAATGATTGTACATAAGGCGTCAGTGTGGCGGAAAGTTTCTACGTGGTGGGGGTTGAGAATTTTGCCGCTTAGTGGGGGGAGGGGAGCAGTTTTGTCGGAGCTTTTGAAGAAACATGCGGTGGGAGGAGAGAGAGCTGTTCAAACAAAAGACACTCGGTACATAAGTGACCTGGAGAAGGGACAGTTCCAAGAGGGAGGTAAAAGGTTTACGCTGGAGGGGGACACATTCGAGTGGAAAATTTCCATTACGGCATTTGTGAGCAACTGACTGACCGTTATGTTTGCGTGTCGTCTCTCTGCTACAGGAAGTGCTTACGTAGCGGCGACACTAGCGCCACTAGCCACGCTTCTAATTCTAGTGATTACGTGGCAAAAAACGCGCTTGACAACAAGATGGAGGTAAGTTTTACTAATCGGATTTTTTTCCAGGTTACCCGATAGGTTAATTTTTTCTAAGGATGCTTTGTACTATTTTTAATTAATAAATTTAATTTAAACAAATTATTTCTTCTTGTTTTTTTTTTTAACCTAACCTTAAAACTTGAAGTACCTTTTTTGGCCAGAACATTTGAATTAATTTATAAAAAATTATAATATAACAATATTTTTGTTGAGTTTTAAAAAAATTTATTTGAATAAATGGCCATAAACTGTACTTCTACCCTATTAGTCGATTTTTTTTAAATATTTGTACTGTAAAAGGTTAATTTTAATGAAACAATTAACGTTGCTTAAGAAAAAACGTTAATTTTTTTATAAAATTCACACTTTAAAATAAACCTTATTCTAAAAGGATGTAATGGATAATTTTAAGGACTAAAATGTAATTAATAGACTAAATTTATTTATAAAAAAATTAAATTTGCTAAGACAGTCGACATTGATCGGTAGTTTCAGCAGATTTGATTGTTTCTTGCATGTCTTTTGTCGCAAGAAGTCCTTTTGTACACTCAGCTTGTTTCATCCATATTTGAATCTGTATCAGGAATTTTGCAACAAAAAGTACATATTAGCTCACAAAATAAAACAAACAACTAATGTAATTTTTTGTGAAGAAAGATACCTGTTTATGAAGAAGTTCTCTCCTTTTTCCAGGCGGTTCTTTGCTGAGAACTCGCACAAGAATCCCTAAACAAGCTTTGTACTTCTCTAGGGCCAGACTATAGTTTCCTTCTGCGAAGTACTGCTCCCCAATTTCGCCCATTTCGAGACCCGACGCCATGTCAAATGTGCTTTTGCTCAGACTTCCTGCAAACAAATCTTCCCAGTTAGAATATATATATATTTTTTTTGCATAACAAGTTGAGTGTTTATAAATAATCTATTTATAACTATGACACACTAAAAACGATTTTTACTATCGTTATCTACTTTTATGACTCGATAAAGAATTTATTTAAAAAAAAACAATGGAATTTTTTTTTAATTTATTAAGAACTCATGAGTCATAGACTATTAATATCACGTATGCAAGTAATTAATATTTAAAATTTAACACGTGCTAGTATTCAAGTTTAAGAATGTATTTCGTTGTTATTGTTTTTGCAATTTTAAATTTTTTTATCTTGCTATTGCAAATCTGATTAAGCTTCAGAAGTAACTATGTAACAATAAGAAGTATTGCTTCATGAAGCATATATTAATTATCTTGAACGAACATCCGAAAAATTGCTTCAATTTTACAGGATTAAGCTCTAGCTAATGAATTGAGAAAATACTAACGTAGTTCTGCATAAGGAAATGAATTTGTTGATTGTTGTCTTATCAATAATTGCCTATGCTCCTTCAACTGTTGATGATTATCTTCATTGGCTGTACTTTTATCCACACATAATTGTTTAAGCTTATCTGCACGATTTATATATTCGTTGATACGTAATCTCAGATGTCTTTTCTTCTGCGGATCTGATTCGTCTGCTCTTGACAAAATAATCATTTCATTTGAATAATGTTTGAATGATGAATTGAGGTTAGAAAAAGTGGAATTTTGCTAAAGTATTCGACGTATTTTTCAGAATATGGTTAGATTTTGAATGGTAATCAGTACCTTTCTTCCTCAAAACATACTCATGTCTACAATAGGTGGGGAGTAATTTGTTTAAATTTAACCGATGATTGTGTTCATTATCTGCGATTCTCTTGTAAGCGAGAAATCGTTAGAATTTGTTTGTATTTATATGTAATGTCGATTTTTAATTAAAAGAACTAAAATCTAAATAAAGAACATTAACAAATCATAAATTAATGTAAAGTTTGTTATTAAGTACGTAATACATAATCAAATGCGGAAAAAGTAATTGGGATATTTTAACATTATACTACTGTTTTAGGGATTTCTCAAATTAGATCATTATCTTAGGTTTTTTTTACCGTGGGAATTTTGTAATCAGTAATGAGTAATGATTAATCGGAATAATTCAATTATAAATTTTTGTCATAATTAATTTTTGGATTCAGTTCATTGCTTCAAAATTTGATAAATTTCTTTGTGATCAATGACTTCTTAAATTCATAAATAAACTTTCAATTCATATATCGTTAAATATACACTGAAAAAAAAGTTTTTTTATACCCGGAATACTGAATATTTTTTAGTCGAGTTTTCTTATACGAAGTAAAAGTCAAGTTAAATATTTTAGATTTAAGAAAACTGGTATTTTAAATCTGAGAATACCAAGTTTTTTAACAGGACTAAAACTAAATTCTATGTTACCATAGCAACCGTGACGGTGGCGCCACTATTTTGTCATTTCCCTCCAATCTACAGTGTACGCGTGTTTTTTAGTTATTAGTTTACCTCGTGCCTGACTCTAGTTACCTAAATATTTATTTGTGTAAATTAAATAATTTATAAATTATAAATAAAAATATTAATCATTAATATTACTTCCCCTTACTCCCTTACTTATATGGATTCTTGGATGCAAAAGAAGTTGTCAGAGTGGAATTTATCATCTCCAACAAATTTATAACTCATTTTAGCAATACATTCTTTCCTTATATAATCAATTTTTATAATAAGGTAGAAAACCCAGTTATTTTCACTGGCCTAGTTGTTTGACACTTGCAATTTTATTCTAATTAAAAAAATAAATTGTTCTCAAAAAACCAATTATCTTAAAATTTATAATTCAAATATAATGTTTATTAAATTATCAGAGTTGATTTATTTTTTTTAATTAAAATAAAATTGCAAGTGTCAATAACTAGGTCTTTTACCTTAGTAATGTTATTAGTAAATTAGTAAAATAATGCTATTAGCAAGAAATTGCAATTTTTTGACAACAATGAGAATTAAAAATAAGAAAAGAAAGGCTTAATATATTATTTTCCATTTTTATTAATTTTAGTTTGATAAATTGTTTATAAATGAAGAATTATAAAAAGTATAGTTTCTCATAATTATCTATCGTAAAGATTCGTGTCGACCAAGCGAGGTTAAGTCGGCCATATTAATTGTAGTATTTTAATAATGAGAATACCAAGTTTGTTTATATCCAGTAAACTTATTCCTATATATGGATAGTAAACTTTGGTATTCTTATTTTAGGAATACTTTTTTTTTAACCACCGGGAAAAGTTTTCTAGGAGGAAAAAAACTTTTTTTTCAGTGTAGTATTCCTTATCAACTCGAGTAACAAAATGTAATAAAAAAGTAAAAACGTAGTGAACAATCGGAAATAGTGTAAATGCTTTGAGCTTAAATTCTATTGGCGATCGATGCAATATTAAAATAAATTAAGTAGTTTATAACATTTAAGAAATCTAATTTGAAATGATTTAAAAGCATCTGATTTGAATACTATACAGATATACAATTAACATGAAGGTAATCATTTCAAATAATCTTTCTGAATAAGGATAACACATATCTCTTTGTCATTTTTGGTGATCAAAAAATCGATGCAATTAACAAGAAAAATAAGTAGCATTTATCTATCAATAATAAATAACTGTCAAGTTCTTACCCATCAGTATTGGTATAAAGTAGCGAAGCGCATTGCAGTAAAGTTGAAATGCTTGCTGGTAATTTTTTTCCATATCTTCTTTCACGCCGCATTGTATCAAAGCAACAGCTTTTTCGTAGTTTTCTTGCGTCGGCGCATGTTCAAGATCCAAAAACTCATGAGCGAAAAAGTTGTCGAAACTTATCCGTTCTTCGGGATCGTGTTTTAGCAGTGATTGTAGTAAATCTTTACATTCATGTGAAACGCACGATCCTTTTGGTATCTATAATCATCATTACATTGAAATATACGTTTTGCAAAAAGACATTATTGCTTTTTACTGTCCAAATATTGCAAGCAATTTTTAAATTGATGATGGACATGGAAAAAATTGTAACTCACGCTAGATGTCCTTACTTAACTACGACTTATTGATCATGTGACCTTACATTTCATAAAATTTACTTATTAAAAATTACCGCTATGAATATAAAAGCCTTACATTTAAAAAATCTTGATTAATTAAAGAAAGTAGAGTAAGTGCTTCATATAGATGAAAGAAATTAAAGCTTGAACCGCATGTACATGTCAGAAATTAATTACTCTAATTCAAGTAAAATATTATTTAAAATAAAAAAAGACCGCTTTGAGTTGAAGCAAATTAATTGGAGCTTGCGCGAAGTATTAAAAATATTAAAAAATGTTTTAGCATGTAATTTGTTGTAAACATATTTATAAAATCCTCATTATTTTTGCTTTCGGTATCAATGTAGTAGCTTCTTATCTGAATCTTTGAAGATATGAAGATAATAAATTCTCAATTACCTCAATAGGACGGCAACTTTTAATTTTCTCAGCTAATTCTTCAAAAGTATTGCTAGAATACGGCGCTTTACCAAACAAACATTCGTACATAATAACTCCAACGCTCCATAAATCGACACGCGCATCGTATTCTCGACGAAGCAATATTTCAGGTGCCATATAAAGTGGTGATCCACGGATTGCGAACTTATGTTCGTCGGTGGATAAATATTGAGCGAAACCAAAATCTGTTAATTAGGAGTTAATGTAATTAGTTGTTACATTATTAAATTTTTAATTAAATTTACGATGTAAAATCACAAAAATTCTTATAAAATCAGTCAATATAACAATTTTTACGATTTAACATCCAAAATTGCACGACTCATGATGCGGAGCAATCTCTAAGTATCTAGAAGAAAGTTCTAGAAAACTGGTTAAAAATATTGATTGAAAAGAATTAAAAAGCGGTCGCTCCATGCAAACTATCTATCTATATATACAAACAAAAGAATTGAAATTATTGAAAAGAACTCAAAGATTAAATCAATGAGATTTTATTACATAAAAATATTTAAATAAATTTTTTCTGAGTATAAAATTGTATTTTTAGTAACAAACCTCCGACTTTTAGTCTTAATGTGGGTTTTCTAATAAGTAAAAGATTTTGTGGTTTTAAATCCATGTGGCATACATTGTTAGAGCGCAAATACTTGAGTGCAAGTGCAAGCTGCTGCAAAAATTTATGGCACACTTTTTCTGGTAATTTATGTTTTCTCTTTATGAACGTCGATAGATCTCCAGCATCACAGTACTCCATAACAATGTATATACGTCTATTGTTAAAATCATCCATTAAATAAAATGAACCAAAAAAATAACATTAATTGTGAATTAATACGAACCCTTCGCCCCAAAAAAAGTCTTTCATCTCAACAATGTGTTCATGTTTTAACACTTTTAACAAATTTATCTCTGTAATTAGATTATCGATCGCCGATTTCGAAAGTGTTGAGCTGTCTACACATTTAAGTGCAACCACAGAGCGGTTATCCTGTTTTTTTTTTTTTTTTTTTTTTTTTTTTTATTTTTTTTTTTGATTTATATACACATTTTTCACTTATAGTTTTTAACAAATAAAATTTTTTTGTAATAATTTTTTAATGTCAGCTCACTTTATTTTCATAAATATCTATCGAATAAAACTAGTTAATATTGAATTTCGCTCATTATTTACCTTTTTTACCGCCTTATAAACAGTTGCGTAACTTCCGGTGCCGATTTTTTCAATAATTATGTAATCATCTAATTTAGGTAGCGCCATTTTGTTTTTTTTTTAATTTTATGTTACTATTTAAATAATAAGTTCAAACTTTTCTTCATTTTCAATTTAAAAATTCCCGCGAAAAAAATTTCGACACTAGCGCCACCAGATAAAAAATGTCAGACTTGTAATTTTAAAAATAAAACACAGTGGCGCTTGTTGATGGATAACAGTATCTGCCAGTAAAAAGAAATCATTCTTAAACATTTGGTGTAAACATAAAAAATAATTGAATCTATTAAATTAATTTTCAATAATTAAAACTACAGTAATGTAAAAAGTTAAATATTTACCTGTTAATTAAATCGGTCGCGTCATTTAAATTCACATTACAAAAACTTTTTTTGTAAATAAAAAATTAGCCAATATGTTTTTATTACACGATTTTTTAAATATTTATTGATTATTAATTTTAATAAATTTAAAAACTAAAAAATAATTGTTAATTCAATTTATCTGAGTTTATTTATAACCAAAGTTTATTAAATCTCCTTGAACTATTTATTTTTAGTCACTCATATTTCTGTGTAGGTATTTGTTTGTTTATTTATTTATTTATTTATAACTAATTTATTTATAATTTTTCTAATTTGCTGTAGTGAATATTTTTATTTAAATAATTAATGATTAGTGAATTGTAAAATAATATCGAATCAAATAACAGCTATGCTATTCTCAAGTTACTTCATGTCATTGACGTCAACTTAGTCATTTTATCGGATTTCAACACGATACATTCAGGTTTTAATTTACAATCGATAAATTTGTTTTTTCTATAAAATATGGCTAAAAAATTTTAATAAATATCATTGAGTTTGGTTAAAATTGTTATTTAAATATCAATAATTAAAAATTCTTTTAGTTTCTTTAGTGAGTGAAGTTATATTTCGAAATAATTTATAATCGAAAAATAGTTGCAGCAATTAAAAAATGTCAAGAGGTATGAAAAATTAATTACTCAATAATATGTTTAAAAATAATTAGTGTAACATTAAACTTACCGTGTTAGATAGTAAATAGTCTCTTGTCACGGAATGTGATTGTTCTTTGTGTCAACAGCTGATTTCTGTCATTACTCAAGTTTTCATTTTTTAAATACCATAACATCCTCTAGTGCTTAAAATTTTGCAGTTGTTATATTATAAATCTCCTTATTACATACAAAATTACTCTGAAAAAAATTATTTTACCTAAGAAGGGTAAAATGAACCTTTTTATAAAATAACAATTAATTCTTTAAATTGTGATAATTTTTTTAGAATTTTAGAGCAATTAAATTATTAATTAAAAAATTCCGAATGTTAAAATTATTAGTAAAAATTTTTAGGAGTAATTAATTTGTTAAAAAAATTTTTTTGACGGCTAACTTCAGTGTTTAGAGTTGAAAAAAAAAAAAAATTAAATTACAAGTTTTTCTGCAAATTAATTTCATTGGTTGTTTGTATCAAAATTTTATTGGCTGACATAATTAATTTTTACCGTGACAGCAGCCATTTTTTTTTTCTGCATGCAAAATATTAATTATTACACTTGAAAAACAAATAATTAAATCTTACAATAGTTGGAAAAAAAAATAATCAAAACAAAGGATTTTTTTATTAAAATACAATTTGAGGTATGAAAATTTAAAAGTACCAACTTATTACCATTTTTTTTTTTAAAATTATTGAGTGATTGAAAGATTAATAAGTAATTTATCAAGACTTGTAATTATAAATTACTAAGTAGTTTGATTAAAAAATAAATAAAAATCAAGTGAAATAAAATAATTATATTATTTTAAAGTTTTAAATGTTTTAAAGTTGGTATTAGATTTACCAAACTATAGTTGTTCTCACTTGAACTAAATTTTGCCTTGTAAATTTCATTTCAGTATATTGTGTCGATATAAATTAATTTAATGCTATATATGCATATGTGTACATACTCCCACATATAAATTTAAAAACGTGTGTATTTATATGTACAGTAAAGTTGAGCTGGTGCTAAGCAGGAGAAAAAAATTGGCTTCAATTGCTATATAGTGTATTTAGAGTACAGTATAATGTCGTTTTAGTTTTCAGTAAGTGAAGTTATTAAAATCTGACTATTTTAACAAAAATTCATATAAATAATCTGTTTTAAATTAACAAACCTGCTCTAATAATTAACTTTACCATAAGTCAATAATTAATCCATAAATTTCAATGATAATAATGGAAAACGAGGTTAATGAGTAATGGTTTATTGTTAATCTCTATTGTGTGACGTCATAAAGTAAAACTATACAAGGGTCATCATGTTCATTCTTTGTTGTCTTTATTCATAATAAATATTTGTTGGTACCTTGTTAAATGAGGTTCATTTTTAAGAATGTTTATGGATTATCTTAAAGAAAACTTGTAAATAAATTTTATCCAATAAAAATAAAAATTTTAACGCTTTAAATTATTATGATGTAGGCTTGGAGTAAAAGAAAGCAGTCCAGTGATACTCGAGATAAAAAAGTAGAAAGTTGTTAAATAACAATGGACTCCGAGGAAGAGACTCTGTATGATGAAGTTGATTCGGGAAATGAATCCAGTGGTGATGATGTTGACTTTGCCATGGAAATCGAGGCCAATAATCCTCGTGAGCGTAGTAATGATGCTGATGAGTATCCATTTGAAGTTTTGACTACTGAAGAAATCGTTCAGCACATGGTTGATTCTATTAAAGAAGTCAATACTGTTGTTGAGGTAGATTTATAAATATTCTTCATTCTTACATTTATTTATTTTAATAATTTTCTAGTTAAGATAATTTAAAAAAAATTACAGGCTTGATTGTTTATTTTTTTTTAATTAATAATTTTTATTGATTGAAAATATAATGATTAATGTTTTTATCAATTAAATACTCGTTCGATTAATTATCATTTACAATTTATCATTAATCATGATACTGAAAGAAAATATTTTTAAAAAATTGCATGTAAAGTTTTTTTGAATTTTCTAAAAGTGAAATTTTTCTAAGGAATTTTTTAAATTAATTTTTTCAATAAAAAAAATCATAAAAATTGTCAGATATTTAAATGCTAAATTAATTATCAATAATACTAAAATTAGCCGACGTTTATTAATTTTTTTCATTTATTAAATTAGAACTTAAAAATATTTCTTTTTTAAATTGCACTTATAGTTTTTCAAGTTTTTTCCAAGTGAAAATTTTTTTGTTATTTTTTCGTAATGATTTTTTCAATAAAAAAAATTTTAAAACCTTTCCAATGTACCAACTTTCATTACTTTAGATCCTTTGAGTATATCTTGCTTTTATTGTATTGAAAAAAAACCCCATCTTGTTACAAGGTGTAAACCAGATGTTACTCTAACATTGCGTATGTCTTGAACGTGTAATCCAAAAGCTGAAATTGAGTGCTCACTAAAAAGAACAATTTTTATTTTTAATAAAGATTCCAGCAACTACTACAAGGATTCTCTTAAACCATTTCAAATGGGACAAAGAAAAATTAATGGAGCGATTTTACGATGGAGATCAAGAAAAATTATTTTCAGAAGCGCGGGTCGTTAATCCGTTTCGTAAAGGCTCAATAATTAGTCGTTCACGATCCCAAAATTCGGTACTTAAATTTCTGTACCATTAATTAAAAATTAATTGTAATATCAAGACTAATAGTAACTTGAATTTCAGTCAAGAAGAACATCTACAAATGGCACTGAAGAATGTGGCATTTGTTTCGTTACTCTTCCATGCTCGGTAAACTATTATTTATAAATATTCAATAATTATTTCTTTAAAAAACGAGTGTCTATTGATTATCTTTTATTTATGCTTTTTTTAGATGATGACCGGATTAGAATGCGGACATCGCTTCTGCACAGCGTGTTGGGGTGAATATTTAACAACTAAAATAATGGAAGAGGGTGTCGGTCAAACGATTGCTTGCGCAGCCCACGCCTGCGATATTCTTGTAGACGATGCCAGTGTTATGCGTTTAATAAGAGATTCAAAAGTTAAACTTAAGTATCAACATCTTATCACAAATAGCTTTGTTGAGGTGAGATTTTTTTTTTTTTTTTTTTCATATTTATTTATTTATTTATTTATTTATTTAAAAGCCTTAAAAAAAATACAAAATTTCAACTTGATTTTTTTTTATAGTAAAAACTTAGTAAAAATCCTTCATAGTGACCTTTTATATTATCGATTAAAATAATTATGCATGAAAAATTATAAGCTGTATTTTTTTTTTGTGAATAATAACATTAATTGGTCATTATAATATATTTGATAATTAATTTTTATAAAAATTAATTTCAATTCTAAAAATATAATATATAAAAAAATAAATTATTATTTTTTTTTTTTTGTTAAAAAAAATTATATTACTCATTTTTGCATCGTAAAAAAAATCTTTTAGTAATTTTTACGATAGTTTAAATTAATTAAATGAAAATAACAATTGATTTTAATTAAATAAAAAAAAAAAAAAATTCAGTGTAACAGATTACTAAGGTGGTGCCCATCACCGGATTGTAATAGCGCTATAAAAGTGCAATACGTCGAATCTAAACCAGTAACATGTAAATGCTCACACACATTTTGTTTTTACTGTGGTGAAAATTGGCACGATCCAGTTAAATGTCATTTATTGCGCAAGTGGATTAAAAAATGTGACGACGACTCAGAAACATCTAATTGGATTGCGGCTAACACTAAGGAATGCCCTAAGTGTAATGTAACCATCGAAAAAGACGGAGGCTGTAATCACATGATTTGCAAAAATCAAAATTGCAAAACAGAGTTCTGCTGGGTATGCTTAGGCCCGTGGGAACCACACGGTTCTAGTTGGTACAATTGTAACCGTTATGATGAAGAGGAGGCTAAAGCTGCGCGTGATACACAACAAAAGTCACGCTCTGCATTACAGAGATATTTGTTTTACTGCAATCGGTACATGAATCATCTTCAGTCGCTTAAATTTGAAAGCAAACTCTATGCAAGTGTTAAAGAAAAAATGGAGGAAATGCAGCAACATAACATGTCTTGGATTGAAGTACGATTTTATTCATTTACAATTTTTTTTTTTATATTTATAAAATGATTTTTATTAAATTGCACTGTAATTTCTTAAATATTGACGTTTTTAAGAATATAAGCTCATCCAGGTGTTACACTTATCAAGAGCTTTCATTTGAGTACCCACATGCATTTTTGATATATTTTTCATATATACATATATATAATATATATAAATATATGAAATATATGAAAAATTGATGTGGGTATTCAAATGAAAGGTCTCGATGAGTGTAACATCAGGATGAGCTTATATCTTAAAAAATATCAATAGTTGACAAGATACAAGGTCATTTCTTAAATATTGACATTTTTAAAGATGTAAGCTCATTTTCATGTTACATTCATCAAGAGCTTTCATTAGAGTACCCACATGCATTTTTGATATATTTTTCATATATACATATATGTAATATATATATATAAATATATAAAATATACGAAAAATTGATGTGGGTACTCAAATGAAAGGTCTTGATGAGTGTAATATCAGGATGAGCTTATATCATTAAAAATGTCAATAGTTCACAAGATACAAGATCATTTCTTAATTATGTGTCTAGAGACAGATCATTTTCGAATTATTAATCAACTGTTTTATAACACAGGTTCAATTTCTGAAAAAAGCTGTTGATATTTTGTGCTTGTGCAGACAAACACTAACATACACCTACGTATTTGCATACTACTTACGTAAAAACAATCAATCTGTGATTTTTGAAGAAAATCAAAAAGATTTAGAGGGAGCTACCGAATTACTGTCTGAGTATTTGGAAAGAAATATAACGAGTGAGAATCTTGCGGATATTAAACAAAAAGTTCAAGACAAATATCGGTAATTATCAATTTTTTTTTTTAATATAAAATTTTCTTCTAAAAATCAGCTACAATATTTTTTTTTATTAAAGGTACTGCGACAGCCGAAGGAAAGTATTGTTAGAACACGTTCACGAAGGCTATGAAAAAGAATGGTGGGATTATATGGAATAAAATGGAATATTGAAACCTATTATTTAAAAAATAAGTGTCAATATGTTAAACCTTTCCCTTTCCGTGACCGCCTGATCTGTGATAACCCGAAAAAAAAAAAAAAAAAAAAAAAAAAAATGAATTAATTAAATAAAACTAAAAGAAGTAAATAAGGTCGCCAAAGTGATTCTCTAAATATTAAATATTTACTATTTATTAACAACTCAAGTAAATATTTCTTCTCGCAATGCTATTAAAAAATATATATAAACATTTTGACGGCCCAAAATTTGAGTTAAATTAATAAAAATAAATATATATGCACATTCATATTATTAATGTTATGTATTAATTGTGTTTGTGTTATATTTTGTCTCGGATCGAGTTTTTTAAAGTATACCTCTTACACAGTGGCGGTGCGAGATACTTAAACGTATATTAAGTAAATAAAGTAATTAATTAATAAATAATGAACTTAAAAAATTGAGTTTTAGTGAATGGTGTTTGATAAATACTAAAAAACGGCCAAATAAAATTCTAAGTGGTGCAACATGTGAATTTCGAGATAAAATATTTTTATTGGCCGTTTATTTCTTTTTTGTTCATTAATATATAGTAATAAAAATAATAATCATAATTTAGCCGTAATAAATTTAATTATAAGTAAATAAAAAATTGTCATTTAGCAAGCCAATAATTTGTGGACGTACTGATAATAAATCATCGTTTTTTTTTTTATTATTAAAAATTTAATGACATATTAATGATATTAATACATAGACAAATGAATTGTTAATCGTAATTGTTTTTAAAAATTAATCTTTCTAGCTTACGATCTCGAGCGAAAAGATTTTTTATCGTTGATATTTTTATTATTTTGATGATTATTATAGTTACTTAAATAATAATAATATTTATTAACGCTCTCTTGGTATTTTTTTTCATAAATAATATACACAATTATTAACTCTTCGTCTATCTATTTGTCTCTTCTCAATTATATGAAAATACGTCCAGGCTAAAACTGCCACCATTGATCTTACTGTTAAAACTGGAATTTAAAATTAATTATTAAATACTTCTTCAAAGAAATATTATTTATTATTGTTTGATATTTGAGGCTTTATAGTTAAAGTTAAAATTTTTTTAATTAATTCTAATAAAATTAATTATTTTTTTTATACTTAATTTGTATTGAACTAATTGTCAAATTAATTGAAAGAAGAAAACTTAAATCACTAATTTTTTAAAACGTGTTTTAAATAGTTGGTAATAAATTTTGAATTTAAAATTGATTATTTAATTGATGTAATTGGTTAATAATTACAATTGACAATTCACAAGTTTTCTTTATTAAAAAAAAAAAAAAAAAAAA